TTATGACGTAATATGACGTCATTATGACGTCATTAATGTGATTTTATTGGCCAAAACCGTCTAAATAGGTTTTTCCCTGAAAATCTTCCTGGTATACAACATAACTTTTACCAAAAGTGTTTATGACAGAATTATTAGTGTGTACTAAGTCTTATGTTGCCCATAGCAACACCGGTGACGTCATAAAATGACGTCATGCATATTTAAGATATCCGCCATCTTGGATCATCAATCTTGAATTTTCAAAAATATTTTTTTTTCATGATAAAGCCTAAAATACATTGTAAACATACTAAACACCTTCATTCAAACCTTTTTTGTAAAAAGAAATGGAAGTATTGATGAAATTTTAATGAAAATAACCCGTATATACCTGTTCTAATGATATGGTCCGCCATCTTGGATTTTGGCCAATGACGTCATCAAATTAGCATAAATTATGCATATTTAATGATAAAATTTACATAAAATTAGATGGGATGTTATTAATATTAGAAACCATGAGTAACTTGACATAAAACCCATAAAATTCTATTGTTGAAACAAAAAGTACTAAATTTAGCAAAAAATGCCTGTCAGAAACCCGTTGCCATGGCAACACAAAAAATTATTATCTTATTCCAATGATAGAGAATTGTTGCCAACAATATTTTAGGAAAAGTCAACAAGTTTGGTCGTTCTACGTCTAGCCGTTCAGACGCTAGGTGACATCAAAGTTGCCGCGGGCACTTTTAGCCCCCCCCCGGTCTAGGTAGGGTTAATGTGCAGCCACACCTTCACATTGTATCTACTGTCTCAACGAAGCAAAATGTCTTGTATAGCGGTTATTTCGACTTTCTATCAAAACCAAGCCTAGACCCTAAGCAGACCTTTTTTTTTACCTTTTTTTTTTAGACTGGAAGGGTTTTTCCGCCTCCTGGACTGGATAGGTTTTTCCGTAAACCCATGTGGGCTGAGATCATCGGGAGAATGAGGGAGGGTGGCCTCGCCTTACAGGCTCCGGCCTGAATGGACCTATACCATTATTACGTCACAGTTTGTTTACCGCAATAAATGCCAGTCAATCGACGTTTATATTGTACAGGGGTGCGTACCGCGGTGTGTGTTTAGCGTTAGCCTAATATAAGGCTTTTAATACAGTACTACTTTCGTCTAATTTCACAACTAAATCACCCATGCGGCATGTAATGCTGTGTCAACACAACTAGACGCAGCAAAAACTCAGACATACCTTACTTTGAAAACTTTGAAATGATCTTTATTCTTTAACTGACCGTTCTAGAATGTTAAAAAAAAACTATTTTTGAAAATTCGAGATTGATGATCCAAAATGACGGATAGCTTAAATATGCATGACGTCACCGGTGTTGAGGGGCAACATAAGACTTAGTACACCTTAACCCTACCTAGACCGGGCTTTTTTTTACATGGGGGAACCGAGGGGGGGGGGCTCTTTTGACCCCCCTAAGAACTGGCGAACGGTATGTCGTATGACCACCAAATTTTTAAGAGAATGGTGTACTAGTAAAAATTTATCATATCTAGAATTTTTATGTCGTTATGATGTAATATGACGTCATTATGACATCATTAATGTGATTTTATTGGCCAAAACCGTCTAAATAGGTTTTTCCCTGAAAACTAAATGGTATTCAACATAACTGTACCAAAAGTGTTTATGACAGAATATTATGGTGTACTAAGTCTTATGTTGCCCATAGCAACACCGGTGACGTCATAGAATGACGTCATGCATATTTAAGATATCCGCCATCATGGATCATCAATCTTGAATTTTCAAAAATAGTTTTTTTCATGATAAAGCCTAAAATACATCGTAAACGTACTAAAGACCTTTATTTAAACCTTTTTTGGAAAAAGAAATCGAAGTATTGATGAAATTTTAATGAAAACTAGAGGTCGGAAGTCTCAGGTCTTCGTCAGAGGTACATCGTTCTAGAGGATTTAACATGCGTATTCTTCACTCTTTTTAATAATCAATTTGGTCTAAAGAACAAAAGAATCTCTGTACTATTTTTATGGTACAGAACACCCTGAAACGGTTTGCCGCAGATTATACAGATGCGTCGTCACCCGTGTTAGCCCCCCCCCCCCACGTTATTTGAGTTTGGACTGTTACTGGAAACAAAACGTTCAAGAAAGTGTCACGACAGCGCCGCAAAATATAATAAGAGAAGATGTTATAAAGGAAAGAATCAGAACAGGGTGACTACTGCTGTTTTCTTAATTTGTCTTTATGACAAATAGAAGACTTGTTTCTTGTCTTCTTTGTGTCCTAACATTTGTACTTCTACAGTTAGTATATTTTAAATCTAGGCATCTCGTTTTTCGGCCCTTCGTGTTTTTATTGGCCGCTTGCCTTAAATTTAAGGTAATTAGATTTAAGGTCTCCAGTGGACGTCATCCGTAGCAATTACTTGGTGTGGCCGTAGAAAATAACCTGACATATGTCAAACCTATCCTCCCCCTGCTGAACTTATAGTACAATCCCTCAATGTAACGTCATTTGATCCCATCCCATTATGGGGTTCCCCGGCTATATCCAGCTGTCGGCTGTCTCCAAGCAGATGTAGGTGGGGGATTTCTAAACACAAAAGGTCCTATTACGGGGACATAACGATTTCCACGACTCTCATCTTTGAACTCAATCTTGGAGACCACAACAGTAACATGCCAATCAAATTTCATTAACTTCCATTTACACATACAAAAGTTATCCTGCTCACAAGAAAAATTAACAAAAGGCCCCCTGTAGTCACAACGAAACCCCCCACGAAGCTCAGTAACGAACTTAACCTTGGTCCCGACAATAGTAAGCACCACACCAAGAATTATAATCAAAATTTTACAAATACTTGAGTTATCTTGCTAACAAGCCACAAACACAAAACGTGCACTAACGTGACGCACGGACCCCCCACGAAGCCGAAACTTGTACTTGACTTCGGCCTCAACAGCGGTAATCTGCCTGCCAAAAATCATGGACGTCGAATCATGCCTTCCAGAGTTATAACGCAAAATTCGCAGTTCCCCACACTCCGGCGAGACAATTTCATAGTCCTTCTGACGAAGACAATAACCTGTATATACCTGTTCTAATGATATGGTCCGCCATCTTGGATTTTGGCCAATTACGTCATCAAATTAGCATAAATTATGCATATTTAATGATAAAATTTACAAAAAATTACATGGGATGCAATTTATATTAGAGACCATGAGTAACTTGACATAAAACCCATAAAATTCTATTGTTGAAACAAAAAGTACTAAATTTAGCAAAAAATGCGTCAGAAACCCGTTATCTTATCTTATTCCAATGATAGAAAATTGTTGCCAACAATATTCTAGGAAAAGTCACCAAGTTTGGCCGTTCTACGGCTAGCCGTTCAGACGCTATGTGACATCAAAGTTGGCGCGGGCACTTTTAGCCCCCCCCCCGGTCTAGGTAGGGCTAATTATCTGTCATAAACACTTTTGGTAAAGTTATGTTGTATACCATTTAGTTTTCATGGAATAACCTATAAACCCCTAAAAAAGGCGTATAAAATCACATTAATGACGTCATAATGACGTCATATTACGTCATAAGGACAAAAAAATTGTAGATATGATAAATTTGTACTAGTACACCATCATCTGAAAATTTGGTGGTCATACAACATACCGTTCTCGAGTTCTGAGGGGGGGGGTCAAATGAGCCCCAAGTTATATCGAACACGATTCACCGGTTCGGGGGGTTCGATCTCCATAGTAGTAGAGTGGGACTTTTCGGCCCCAATTTGACCATCGTGTTTTGTCTTGGAAACTGCAGTACAAGCTTCTTTAATAAGGACTTTTACCAACACAAAAGAACTACGGAAGCCAGCTACCAGCCTTGAGCAGTTTGTACATCAACTTTTTATGTTTATTTTTATTTTTTTTATACGAGCAAGTAATATCTAGCGATAGTTTGTATACTAGTCATGACTCCATGCGTGAACCTTAGACTGCTCTGATACTGATATAAATGATGAACACCTGAAATGCGTGCTGCTAGTACGATTGCAAGGAACGTATGTAGTTTTATGATAAACACAATAAAGAATCTTTCCAGAAATTATTATGTATCGTCGACTTCAATGCTATTCTTAATATAAGACAACGTAAGGTTCCCGTCCCCCCTCCG